TCCCAGCTTCCATCTTAAAAGATAACAAAACACACCCATTGCCATGGAAGGTCAGGTTGGCTGCTCCTCAGTCAGCCCAGCCTGACCATGAACCTGTAACGGGCTAGTTAAAAAGCTTAACTGTACAATGTCAACCTAGACAGGGGTGCCACCTGGCATTCTCTCCCTTCCATAGCCTAAGGCCGGGACACCTAGACCCTAATTTCTGAAGAGAATGCCATTCCAGTGCACCTCTACCCCTGGCTTACCACAGTTCTGTCCTTGTCTCCCCTGGGCGGCTTCACCTCTGCACAGTTATACAACATCTGGCTGTGTGCCTAACTTGGTTTGGGCCCCACTCTGGACCAGGCATCTGGGAGAAAGATTGGGAGCAGCTTAAGGCCAGGGACTGTTGTCTTCAAGTGTACATCAGCTTCTGGGGTCCTTCGGGAAAGGACTAGCTCAGTGGCTCCCGTGTCATGATTCCCGCTTTACCAGTGAGTACACAGAGCCTTGGGGAGATGCACTGTCTGTCCCCTCTCACTGTGTGTTGGTGCGGGGCCAGGACTCAAAGCTAGGCCTGGGGTCTGCAAGCTTTAGGGGGTTCATGATCCACCTGGAGTCCCTGGGTTGAGTGCTCTGCTGCTCACCACCATCTACTTCTGAAAATCGGCCTTTCCCACCCTGTGGGCCACAGTTCTACTCGAAGGCACATGTGCCATGGCCACGAGTCAACTGCGAGGCAACTGGTTCGGTCTGTTTTTCCCTAAGATTTCACTAGGAGCTCCCGCCCACCATCACCTGTTTCTGACCGGCAGGTCTGCGTGTTCATTGGGTGAGTCCCTGGGTGGCACAAGCAGTTAGCTTACTTGGCTCATAACTGGATGGTTAGTGGCTCAAATTCACCTAGAGGCACCTTGGAAAAAAGGCCTAGTGACCTCCTGAAAGATCACAGCCACTGAAAGCCCCTGGAGCGCTGTTCTCAGGCACACGAGTCGGCATCGCGTGAGTCGGTATCCACTCCACAAGTGGTTTGGTGTTCTGGTTTTTGACTTCACTGTAGGTGGTCTGAGGACCGCACTCGCTAAGAAGTTCCAAGCTGGGCCTTGAGCCTTCTCTGCCCTGTCTTCCTCCCCCGGCCCCCCTTCTTTCCACTGAGGCAGCCGCTATGTAAATGCCCTGCCTGCTGTTTTTTTCCATCCTCTCGGGCCTGATGAGAAAGGGCCTGATCAGCTCTTGCGTTTGCCTCACCACAACTGTCAGCCCACCTCCTTCAGGTGGAGGAAGGAAGGAGGGAAACAAAGGGGGCCAAGAAGACGGGGTGATGAGCACTCAGGCCAAAAGCAGCTCCCGCCACCCTGGGAATGCCCTGTGGGGAGTCCATCCTGCCTGGGGAGGAGCCTGAAGCCTGCACAGAGCTGTGGAGCAGAATGCACCGTCGGGTGATTCAGAACCGCCATTCCCGCACTTTACAACGCTCGGGGTCAACTGCTTATACACAGCCTGTTGCAGTCAGACAACCCTAAGTGGAGTTGGTTAAAAAATGCTTTTTTTCCCCACAGCCACATTCAGCAGGTAGCTGCCTTCTTGTTGGGAGGGAGGGTTTGTTCTGCTCTGTTCTGCAGCCAGGTCCCTTAGAAGGCTGAGTGACCTAAGATCACACCTGTCCACATGGAGGGACAGTAGCTGAAGCTCAGTCAGAATTTTTTGCCTCTGAAACCTACCCCTATGTCCACCAAGTCCTACTGCCTCTGTGGGTTTGTGACATTAACAAACTAGCAAAACACCAAACCAGTTGCCAGAGTCGATCCTGATATGGCGCCCCCTGTGTGTCAGAATGTGATGTGCTCCACAGAGTCCTCTGTGGTGGGCTTTTCTGGGGGAGACCACCTGGCCTTTCTTCGGAGGCCCTTCTGAGTGGATTGGAATCAGTAGCCTTCCTGTTAGCAGCCAGGCCTGGTAACCATTCGGACCACCCCTGGGGACTGAACTAATGGGAGTGCTCTAGGAGAAAGCTGATGGTCAAGGCTGTCCTTCAAGGCATCTGCCCTCCTGGCCTTGGGGAGGAACAACCTCCTGAAGGCTCAGACATTTGTGGGTCTGAACGGCCGTCCCTCAGGCAGGTGTACATCCTTGGGCAGGACCGGGGCCTTTGAGGCGTCGAGCTCTTGGCTGAGACAGTACCTTAGAGGAAGCTCTCAGTGCCCGTGTGCCTGAAGCAATCAGTGCCTGGCGTGCGACGTTCCCCCAGTGAGTAAGCTGAGGGCCAGTGGCCTCTTTCCTTGAAAACCCAGACCCTTTGCATTATGCAGATCAGGGCTGATTAACGGCCTGCACTGTACCTCCTCCTTCCCCTTTATTCAAGTAGGTGGAAAAGAAAAGAGGAAATCAAGGTAGGGTTGATCACAGGGAAACTTTGCAGGGTGGGGGAAGAAGGTGGCCCCCTGCCCTTGTGGTGGTTTGGATCACACACCGGGCTTGACCTGGGGAATTCTCTTAACCTGGGGGGTGGCGGGCTGGGGAGACCCCTCAGCCTCCTTCTTCAAGGTGACCCCCCACCCACACAGTGGAAAAAGAGCAACCATTGCATGAAGATTTGCATGGGAAAAACAGAGGCAAATGAGCCTGTCCTCGGGGCCGGTGTTTTCATGGCATTTGCTCAAGCATGCTGCCCCCTCTGGCCCAGTTTGAGAGATGATGTCATAAAATGGCTCAGGTGAGTGGTGCCTCCTGGGCCCAGTGGGCCTGGGTGGTGCAAAGTGTTAACGAGCTTGGCTGCTGACTGAAAGGTTGGAGGTTTGAGCCCATCCAGGGGCTCTTTGGAAGAAAGACCTGGCAAATTACTTCCCAGAAACCAGCCACTGAAGACCCCATGGAGCCCAGTCTGGCTGTGACAGACTCGGGGTGGCTGCGAGTCAGCATGGACTCCATGGCAACTGGTGTGACTGGAGGGGGAAGCTGTGCATGGAGTCAGCCTGGAGAAGGGGCCCGATGCGTTGTCCCCAAGGCAGGAGCGGGCTCAGCCACTCGGCCTCCCTGCCCCCTGCTCTGTGCTCTGCGTGGGAGGGAAGGGCCTCCTGAGCCGAGGTGTGGCTCTCGTTACCTTATGATGTGCATGGAGCTCCTGGGTCTGGGGAACCTTCTTTCAGGTTCTCCGCTTTGGGTTTTTTGGGGAAGTTGTTGGATGAGACAAGGAGGAGCCAGTGGAATTGCCTGCATCCAACAGAATGTGTGCACATGGGAGGGTGGGGGCAGGGTCGGCACCCTTGAAGGGCATCTCCACGGCTGCCGGCCATAGTCTGGTGTCTCCATTTTGGAGGAAGCGACAAGGCCCTTTTCTAAGGGGCCCCAGAATGAGCAATCATAGAGGCAGGCAGGCTCTACGCTGGGCATCGGGGGAGGGGAAGAGCAGCACCCAAATGCCCATGACAGGGAGGGAAGCAGAGAGCTGGAAGTGTCCTAAGGTGACCCTGTGACTCAGTGGTGGACTCTGGTAGATCAGCTGACTCCCTGACCATCACACCCCAGCCCTTCCAGAGGGACCGCAGCACACGTGTACCCTACCCACAACCACCCTGACAGCAAGTGGGAGAACACAGCAAAGGCTTGAGAAGGGACCAGGACATGGCAGTTTTGCTTTGGGCTCTGCTTGCCAGTGTCCCCTACCACATCTCTGGCTGCAGGACTCGGCCACGTCAGAAGCCTCTCAACCTGGCATCTCTCCGTAAGGCCGACTTCTCACCACTGATTAACCTGTAACGTCGTACCCTCCCCTGGCACGCTATGCACTTTGTAGTCCTACCAGTGGGACACGAGGTCTTTGTTGTTTTCAGTAAGACCTCATAGGAATAGTGTCTCGCCTCGTAAATGACATAGAAAAGGCTCTTTTCTGAGCTGTTCATGCCCCTGATAACATTATATCTCATTTCCCTTAGAGGGGAGGGCTGGCGGGGTGCGGTGATAAGAACCTAGGTCTCCGAATCAGATGGGCCTGGATTGGAATTCTGAGTCTACAAATACCTACTGACAACTAATTAAATTCCTTTGCGGACCTGTCTTCCCTACTGTAAACTAAGCAGTTAAACCACTGGGCTCTACAATCCATCACAAATGCCAAGGACTCAGCATCCTTTGGAGCACTAATCGCAACATAAAGAAACAGGAGTCCTCCCAACTGGACCAATAAGGAACATCACGAGAAATGGAGACTACCTTGCAGTTGTCAAGGATTTCATTTTCCTTGGATCCACAATCAACAGCCAGGGAAGCAGCAGTCAAGAAGTCAGACAATGTACTGCACTGGGCAAATCTGCTGCAAGAGACCTCTTCAAAGTGTCAAAGAGCAAAGATGTCACTTTGAGGACTAAGGTGCCCTGACCCAGTCCATGGTATTTTCAGTCACCTCATATGCATATGAAAGTTGGACAATGAATAAGGAAGACCGAAGAAGAGTTGGTGCTTTTGAGTTGTGGTGCTGGCGAAGGATACTGAAAGTACCATAGACTGGCAGAAGGATGAACACATCTGTCTTGGGAGAAAAATGGCCAGAATGCTACTTAGAAGCAAAGATGGCAAGACTTCACTTCCTTTGACATGTTCTCAGGAGGGATCCTTGGAGAAGGACATCATGCTTGGTGAAATAGAGGGTCAGAGAAAACTAGGAAGACCCTCAATGAGATGGACTGGCACAGTGGCTGCAACAGCGGGCCCAACAGTAATGATGGTGAGCATGTCCCAGGACCAGACAGTGTTTCGTTCTGTTGTACATGGGGTCACTATTCGTGGGAACCGAGTTGATGGCAGCTGGCACCTAACAACAACAACAACAATCTCTGGTTCCCTGGAAACTCTAAGTGTGAGCAGTTTTAACCATAGATACAGTTTGATAAACACCATGACCCTCAGTACCCACTGCCCTGCTTCACCCACTGTCAGCATCCATCCACCACCGCTCTGTCCCAGCTGAGGGTACAGGGTCCTTTGGGCAGAGCTGAGCACTACACCAAAGAAGTTGGACTCACCATCTGGACAGGGCAGAGGCCTCTCAGGTGGGGCAGGTGTGGACTTCATGCTGTTTCCCATCTTTCTCTCTCCCCGCCAGGCAGTCGGAGCCTCCAGGAGCCTAGGGCACAGGAGACACACCCAGAAAGTCAGCCGAGCCCTGAGCCCTCTGCCTGCAGAGTGACCCAGTTTAAAGTGCATCGTGCACCATTTTGCAGGCAGTTTGCTTCTTGCAAGGTGGCTTTTGGGGTGTGAGGAGGAGATCCGTGAGTGTTGGCTACGTTTGTGCAGCTCGAGTGCTTTTATCAGGGGAATGACAGAGAGAAACCACACAGAAGGAAGTCGCTAGCAAGTACTGTTGGTGGCAAAAGTTTCCATTCTGCGCCCTCACTGAGGACCGTGAGGCAGGGTGTGTGTGTGAGGGTGAAGAGCTGGGCCGTGTGTCACGTTGCCCTGAAAAATCTCCAGCTTGTTGTCAACTCCATGCACAAGAAATTTGGAGCTCGTTGCCTCAGCCCTGCGTGGTTTCACCACCTACAGGCTGAGGAGGGGTGCTTTCTGTTCCCACTTTTTCCCTTCTCTTTGAGGTTTTTGACATGCTTTAACATGCAGTTAAAAAGGAAATGTTCCGAGCAATGTTGCATCTTTGAAACACACTGTATATGCTGCTGAAGGCGCTAGGTGCCACAAATGGTTAAGCACTTGGTTACCAACAAGAAGGTGGAGAATTCGAATCCACCCAGAGGTACCTGTGAAGAAAGGTCTGGCTATCTTTTTTCTGAAAGAGCATCAAGAAAACCAAACCCACTACCATCTGGTCGATTCTGACTCATAATGACCCTATCGGACAGAGTTGAACCGCCTCCATAGGGTCTTCAAGGCTGTAAATCTTTACGGAAGCAGCCAGCCTTTTCTTTCACCTGTGGGTTTGAACCACTGACCTTTTGGTTACCAGCCAAATGCTTTAATCATTGCGCCACCAGAGCTCCTGCCAAAAGAGCACACCCACTGAAAACCCTGCGCAGCACAGTTCTGCTCTGACACACGGAGGGTCCCCGGAAAACGGGGTCAGCTCCCCCCCAGCAGCTGATTGCTGGGAAACACACTCAAGTCTACTGTTACTTTTGGTCATCGTAAAATCCCTGCATCACAGACCCCATGTTGCAGTTAAGGAGCTGAGCCTCACAGAGGGTAAGTGACTCGCCCAAGGTCACATGGCCAGTTCCACTGGAGCTGGGATTGCAGTTCTGATGCTCAGCCTCCCATATGTGTGATCGTAATGGTTATGAGGGTCAGCTTTGAAACCAGACCACTAGACTGCAATGCTGACTCTGTACTTACAAGTTGGATGACCTTGGGCAAGTGACTGACCTTTCCAGGACATGATGGGACAATGTTGGGCTGTGGCTGCAAGAATTAACCCAGGTAAACCATGCAAAGCACTTAGAACATGGCCTGGAGTACAATATATGTTATTGTTAATGACCTTGACTGTCCCAATGTGCCCATGGTGATAAATGCTCCAATTCTGGGCCCACGTGTAAGCATTCTAGAACAGGGACTTGGATGATGGCAGAATTAAGAGTGTCTTAGAGAAGCTGCAATCTCCCAGACTGCTTGAAGCCAAGAGAATAAAGTCATACCCACAGAGAGAGAGCGATTCCTATCTTGTGGGGACAAAGCAGAGAGGGGGTAGGGCTGCACCCGCACAGGTGCCCAGCCCCATTGCAGACTTGCTCTCTGCGCATCTTTGTCTTCAACCTCGAGTACAAATCCTACAAACCCCAAAGGGTGCGGAAGCCAGCCAATCCAAGACCCACCCTGGCCTCAAACCCTTTGCCCGAGTCCTCCATGTTCAGGTTCTAGAATGATCTGTGGTCTCAGAGCAACGCTTTTTAGAGCTTGAAAGGGGTCTGTTGCATTTTCTGTTTTAGAAGAGTGGGATTCCTAGTCTGGTAAGAAGGAAGGAAAAGCACAGTGTGTGTTTTGAAGAAGTTAATTATGTTTTACCGGCTTTGTCTCACTGACTTTGGTCATGCTGTCAGAAGGGACTGATCCTTGGGGAAGGACATCATGCTCCGTAGAGTGGAGGGTCAGCACTTTAGGGGAGACCCTCAATGAGATGGGCTGACACACTGGCTACAGTGATGGGCCCAAGCACAGCAAGGATTGTGAGGCTGGCCCAGGACCAGGCCGTATTTTGTTCTGTTGGACACAGGGTCGTTATGAGTTGGAGCTGACCTGATAGCACTCAACAGCAACGACAACTGTTTAAGTGTGATGTTCCCAACATAATTACAAGGCTCCTAAGAAGTGTATACTCATGGTGTGCCTCCGAAGTGGGGGCTGGGGGCCCCGAGTTTGAAGCCAAATGGGAATTGCAGTGAGAATCACATTCCTGCTGGTGCCTGTGATGAAAGGTATAAACTCCTTTGGAAACAGTGGGGACGGTGTGTGGGGGAGGCCCTTCTTTCTCCTGCTCTTGCCCCCTACTCTGTAGCCAGTAGCCATCTTTGGGCCTCATTCAGGCTGGACAGATGTGACAGCATCATTGACCCCAGGAGGGCAGGGCCATGTCTGCCTTGTTCCCATCCCCAGCCTGTCATGCTGTAAGTGTTAGCTGCCCCTGACTCATAGTGACCCTGTGCACAACGGAACGAAACACTGTCCAGTCCAGCAGCGTCCTTACAATCCTTACTATGTCTGAGCCCAGCGTTGCAGCCACGGTGTCAATCCATCTCGTTGAGGGGCTTCCCCTTTTTCACCGACACTCCACTTTACCAAGTACAGGAATACAAGGTCTGAAACTGTCATTTTTCAGCTGAGGAAACTGAGGTCCATCCAAGGAAAGACATGTGCCTAGGGGCACAAGGTAAAGAGGACAGTTAGATTCTAGGGCCTCCGGCTTCTACTAACGCACTCCCTCTCTTGGTTTCTTGCACTAGGCCTTCTCTGCCTGGCCAGGGGAGTCACCCTTGGGACCAGCAGAGCTTTAAGCCCATGGTATCTACCCCATTCAGAAAAACTCGTCAGGGTTCAGCAGCCCTTCCTGGCCTTATCATGGCTCACTCAGTTGTCCAAGAAGCAGTTAACTGGGGTCTGAAAGAGGCTTTTGATGGAGGCAAACAGAAAAGTCCCAGAGATGCAAGCCAAAGCCTCCCCAGTAAAGTGGTCCGACCATCGGGTTTGATCCCTGACAGTGTTGGTAGCGACTGGAGGTGGGCAAAGACGTGGGAAACAGAATCACTTCATGGTAAGAAAAGGGCCAACGAGAAATGAGTTCATTACACTAGCTCTGAGAATTCAGCATCGCTGCTGGCTTGCCTTTGTGGTATGACTCTCAGCTTCCCAGGACAAGGGGTCAAAACTAGGATCTGCCTCCCATTCTTCCTCCAGTCTTTGGACCAACCCTGTCTTCTTTCTGTGGCCTTTGGAATCGGGGCCTTAGTTTTCTCTCCTGAAGGCTGAGAGGAGTGGAAATCATGATCTCCAAGAGCAAGCCTCTGGATCACTTTTCATTCTAGTAACTGAGACTCCAATGGCTTTTTGAAAATTATTCATAAGAATAAAGCAGCAACGTCACTTTTTACAGGGGTTCCTGTCAGACAGAAGACCTTGGGTGGCAATGGTTAACACGCTTGGCAGGTCTTTTAGTACCAAGTGCCGCTCTGACAGGCATATAACACAATGGGATGCTTGAATGAACAGGGATTTCCTCTCTTACAGTTTGGAAGTCTAGACGTCTGAGTTCAAAGTGCCAGGGCAGTGGCAGCAATCAGCAGCGGCCTGTAAGCTGGTCCATCTGACCTTCTGAGGCATGGGAGGCGATGACATGCATGGAGAAATCTGTGTGCACCACAGCTAACTCCTACAGCAGTGGGGACAGCCAGACCACCATGACCTCCACAGCCTTTGACCAGGTTTTCACTCCATACCAGGCAGGAGGCTAACTAGTAACCAGGTTCTGTTGAACTGACTCCTCTCGTGGTGACTCCACGTGTGCTGGAGCACAACTGCACTCCACAGGGTTCTCAGAGACTATTGGGGGGAAAAAGAGATCGCCAGGCCTTTGCTCTGAGGCACCACCGAGTGAATTCAGGCCTTCAACCTTTAGGTTACAGCTGAACACGCTAATCAGCCACTCAGGGACTCCAGCCCAAGGCTACGCACTTTATATTCATCCTGCCCTGGAGGGGTCTCAACGATCCTACTTCATAGACGAGATAACCGAGGCTCAAAAACTAAGTAACATGTCCATGGTTTTAGGATTTGTAAGAGGTAAAGATTGAATTCAAACCCAGATCTGTCCAGCTCCCAAATCTGTGCTTTTCACCACGGTGAAATGTCATCCTGCTTTCGCGCCCTCTGGCCAGGACTAGAAAGGCAAAGAAAAGTGATTTTTCATAGCTGTCAGAGCCAACTTCAAGGGCTAAACTTTCAGGAGAACCTTGAATGAAAGGGACATAGAGGTCATGAGGGATCTCTGGATGTCACCGTGGCAGTGTTTGGAAGCCAGGGTCTGGAATCCATCTGGAGAGGGCAGAAGGGACCAGAGAGAGAGAGGCCAGTGAAGGCTGCTGAGGCATCTACTGTCATGGTCACTCTTAGGGAGTCTGCTGTGGCCAAAGGCCAGGGGAACCATGTAGGCTGTTGTCCAGCCTTGCATAGCATTGTTTTAAAGAATTAATGTTGTAGGGTGGTGTGGAGGAGAGGAGAAGCAATACCAATTGTGTTGCTATTACTATTATTATTACTGGATGCTGTCGAGTCACTTCCAGCTCATGGTGAGCCCGTGTACACCAGTACATGAGCTTTGCTGATGTAGTGCTTAAGGCATTTGGCTGCTAATTAAAAGGTCGGTGATTCAAACCCACCAGCCACTCCACAGAAGATAGATGAGACAGTCAGCTTCTATTCAGAAAGCCAGTGAGGTCAGTAGGAGTTGGAACCAACCTGATGGCAGTGGGATTGAGTTTTTTTGTGTGAAACAGTACAAAACCCTGCCTGACTGTATTTACAATACCCCAATTTTATGAAAAGTACATGTATACATAAGGAGCTGTGGTGGCGCAGTGCCTAAGGCACTTGACTGCTAACCAGAAGGTTAGCAGTTCAAACCTACCAGCCAATTTGCAGAAGGAAGACTGGGCAATCTACTTGCATAAAGATTTACCACCTCAGAAACCCAGTGGGGGTCGCTA